AACGTATTAATGTGGTTGAGTATGATTTTTGCTTTTGCTTAGTTTTCAGAACGATATGGAGAGGAAATGTCATGTAGGGAGGGAGGAGATGCATAAGAGATGAGGAAGGAACTAATAAGAGAAAATATATAAAACTGAAACTGAAAAAAATGAACTCCTGAGAACTCTGTTTAGATTATATTTTCTCCTTTTTTCTCTGGTATCACCTATCTTCCCCTTTTCCACTTTTTTAATATTTTTTTTTATCAGCTCCGATTAAACAAACAAAAATGGAAAAGTGAGGTTAGATTCTTTTTTTAAAGTGCAAATAAAATTTCTGAAAAATTAGAATTCAGTGGTTAGTGCTTAGTACTTGTCGTTGTTTATATTGTTTTTGGACGGATATGCCTTAATTTATAGAATACATTCTTGATGAGTTAAAAGCTTTCTTCTGCTTCTAGTTTTTTGGAATATTTTGGCCTTAAAAAATAGGAATTAAACCATAAAAAGTAGGAAAAAATAAACATTTAATCTTGTTTCGTAACTGCAAGTACCACCACAAGAACGCTCAGTCACAGTTCAATCACAAGCTTTTTGTTTGTATATACCTCTAGGCCAAAACTTGTGGTGTGTGTTCAACGCTGACAAGGTTCTCCCTTTCAAGCTCACTCAACTGGTAAGCTCCACTGTACATTATTTTTCTGTTGCTCTAGTTAAAGAGAGATAAAAATGAACACAGAAAGCAAATTGATTCACTGAGAGTGGCAAGAAATAACCCAAAAGCTGCTAAATTTGCATGTGGGTTTTCATTGCAGTCATCAGATTACTGAACCCAAGTGAAATTTACTAGCTTTTCTTTGTGGGTTTATTCTGATTGATCATCGATCAAACCATGGTCTCTGCAATTCTCAATGGGGCTGAGAACCTCTCACTCATCAGAGGCATAACCCCAAACGGGTTGGGTTTCATGGGGTCAGATCTTCATGGGAAGCAATTTCTGAAGATGGGTTTGGTTTCAAGTACAAGAATTTCCAAGTCTTGCACCAGAACCATTGTGCCCAAGTGCAGCTTCTCAGCATCTAGGCCAGCATCCCAGCCTAGGTTCATTCAGCACAAGAAAGAGGCTTTTTGGTTCTATAGGTTCCTCTCAATTGTGTATGATCATGTCATAAACCCTGGGCATTGGACTGAGGACATGAGGGATGAGGCACTTGAACCAGCTGATCTCAGTAATAGGAATATGATTGTTGTAGATGTTGGTGGTGGTACTGGCTTCACCACT